CATTTAGTTTTTATGTTGTACAGTACACATACTATGAAGAGAATAGAGAAATGTTTGCATAAAGAGGTTTCTACAGAACTTAATACACTCAGATTTCATTTAGAAAAAAAATCTTCATAAAAGTTCTGTTTAGATGCTTTATATTGCCCATCGCCAATTGTTGTAATTGTTGTAACACCTAAATAAGGGCACATGTTCTCTACAATTTTCTTTTAATCTCATAATATGCATCTCTGCTTTTAGTAAGAGATGCAAACATTGTGCTAAATTATTACTACTTTTACTCTACCATTCATTTTAATCTCCTTTGTATATATAATAAATATTATAAATATGCAGGTTTTGGCATGAGTAAATAACTTTACAGGCAGTGAAAAGCTTATCAAAAAACAGACTTGATGGGTTAAGCAGGCTGCTAACCTCAATGATTTCTTGATTTTCAATAAGAGTTTTGATAAACAAAATCATGAAAAAATTAAAAGGATTTAATTATAGGTTTAAGTTGTTCCATATGCGCATTTTGAAATTGCAATGTTTTTGGTAATTGCCTTAGTCTAAATACCATCGGACTTAACAAAAAAAGTATTTATACATTTCGTATATAAGTGAATAAAAATAAAATAAATAGAAAGTAATTTAATAATTAATTATAAATAAAATTACACACATTGTAAAATTTTACATTTGTTGTTCCTCTACCAAGACCAACAAAAAGCCTGGCTTTTTAGTTCACAAAGCAAGTTCTTTTTGTACTAATTACAGACCCTGCCCAATATTTTCACTAGAAATATTGTTCTATTATCCACTACTATTTTCTTTTCATCTCCAAGTCAAAAACATTGACAATACCAATATAAGCTCTATAACCAGAAGATTATTATTTCTGATGAAAAACTTGGATGACTTGAAATAGACACACAATTATGCTTTAAAAATTGATTAGCCATCTGTTGATTTTGTTAAAAATTGATTAGCCATCTGTTGAAATTTCTTATTTATGAGTTTCATCAATGCATTTATGAATTGCTATATCTATCAAAGTTAACAAAAGAAGTTAATATGTGAATATGTACCACATTAATTTAGAGATTTAAGAAACAAAATATTTTTTAACTTTTAAATTGTTTTAATTTTTCTTTATTAACAATTTTCTTTTTATAAAAGTTGATTTGAGTTTTCGAATAGCAGCCACAAAATTCCTAAAATGACTTAACAAACATTAAAAAAAAAAGGAACATGTTTTTTTTTTGTTTTTTTTTGCAATGCATGTGTATATTGCATTATTTGTCTGCTTTTAATTATCCTCCAACCTGCAGGCAAATCAATATACATACCATATTCCTAAATACATGTATGGAGGAAAAAATATTTGTTCTCCAAAGATTATTTAAAACGTGATATGTGGATTCATTAACCTTTAGATATATGACCTTTAGAGTAGAGTATATTTTGAGCTTCTATTAATTCATGTGAAACATCTGATTAATGAAAAGTCAAAAAAAAAATTTTTAGGCTAATCAAGAGAGTATTGTTTGCTGAGTATTGTGCAAAAAATGTAAATAAAGAAAAGAATATATTGATTACAACTTTAAGTACTTATTTGATTTGTCTACTTGACATTGTGGACTTCCAGTAGTAGCTTAAAAAAAACACAAAAAATAAACATAAACTACACAATCTTTCTAATCTATCTTTCTAACACAGTTTAAAAAGATAATCACAAATAATAAGTAAACTATCTTTCTAGCAGTTTAAAAAGATAATCAAAGATAAATAATAAGTCTATAAATAAGATAGTCTATTTTATTTTTATTTTTTATATACAATACTTTAATTTAGTTTACTGCTTAACTAAATACAAATAATTGTTTGCAACCTGATATGATATTTATATAATTTTATTTACCAAGTTGGGTACTAAATTAAAAAATCTATACTATATTATTTAAATTCATATAAATTTAAATTGTAAGTTATAAGTCATGATTTTATAAAACCATATCATTTTTTTTCTTTCTTATAAAAAAAAAAATACTTAAAAAAAAATAATATTATTTTATCAGGTTCATAATATTTAAATTATTTTTGATAAATATTTATGCTTTGATCTGTGTGAGAATCTTTCAAATTGCAAGACAACACACTTTACTTGTCTCTTTGAAACTAGCAAATAAGTAATTAATTTCAGATTTTCAAAATAAGATTTTATTAAATTTAGTTAATCTATAGTTGGCTAGATTTTCATTCAGCTGAGAGGCAGAAGAAAAAGTGTGCTGGAGAAAGAAATAATTATCTTTCATTTTTTTTATTAATAAGAAAGTTTAAGAAAAAAGTTTACAGGTTCATAGACTTTCTTATTAATAAATATTTTATTAATAAGAAAGTCTATGAACCTGTAAATTCCTTAAGTTTTTATAAATATGTTAATTTATTTGCAACAACATCATTAACTCAAAACACTTGGCTGAAGTTAAATAAATAAGGTTATTAGAATAAAAAAAGTCTGCATTTGTACTTAATAGCTAGAACCAAGATGTAGATTCAATTATTATTTTAACCAAAAAAAAAATCTACATTATTACATAATACATAGGTAAAACATAGATGTAGAACCAATTATTGTTTTTTCAACCAGAAAAAAATACTACTTTATTACATAATACATAGATAAAACAAAGATGTAGATCCAATTATTATTTTTTCAATCATACAAAAATCTACATTATTATATAATACATAGGTAAAACAAAGACGTAGATCCAATTATTGTTTTTTTGACCAAAGAAGAATATCATCTAACATTTACAGAAGAATCTGGGTCAACATCACAAATCAATTTGACTCATTTAATTATACTAAATTTTTTAAAATTTATTTATTAACTGCAGTACCTCAAATTCCATGTAATTTAACTTTTTTGTTTTTGCGGTAATTAAAAAACACTTAACTTTATATGCATTTGCAATTATTTTAATGGTTTTGGCTTGAAGACATATTTATATAATATATTATAAATTATACTAATATAATTAATATAATATTAATAATAATTTATATGAGTCTAATAACTATTGATTTCATGGAACACTTGATACAATAACTGATGAAAATGAAATAAATATGTTAATGTTTTTTTTTTGGATAATTTTTTTTTTTTTTTAATTCCGTTATTTTATGGAACATATACAGCTGTAAAAGCCACAGTGAACAATTAAGAGTAAGTGAAAAATCAGAGTAAATGGTAGTTAAGCAATTATCAAAAAAGTTGGTGTCCAGTATTAAAGCAGGTAGTAAAGAGGAAATTTTAGTCACTGATCATGTATATCTTGTATACTGTATAAAATGTACACCATTTAAGAGGAGATATTCATTTACATAGTTTATATCTAATTATAGTTTATACTGCTTTATTAAAAATATTTGCTTATTAGTTTATTGTTAAATTATTATTACTTTATATTATATTAGTTAAACTATATTAGTTTATATTAAATCATAATGTATATCCTTTAAGAGAAGTATTTGTTTATATTTAAGCTATATTTAATTATAATTTATACTGTATAAGTTGAGCTATTTGTTTTATAATTATCTTATATATAATTATGATCTATGCCGTTTTAGTGAAATTATTTTTTTTCTAAAAATGTAAACCATGTTTAACCATAATTCATACCCTTTAATTGGAAATATTTGTTTTATATTTGTCCATATTTAGTTAAAGCGTATACCGTTTAAGTGATATAAGCTATAACTAAACATGAATTAAGGGCAACTTACAATTAACACCAACCAAGCACAAAACGAACACCCTTCCCCCAAACAAAACCAAATATAAACAAAGCCCAAAGCTATTCACTTTATATTTTGTTTATACCCAACCACAATCAGGGAAATGCCACTACCATACCCAGTCAATATTCAACTATAATGCGCATTGACTGGAAATATTCATTTTATACTAAGTTTATATTTAATCACAATTTATTCTGTTTAAGTGAAGTTATTCGTTTAATATCTAGTTCACGCTTAACTAAACTTTATACCGTTTTAAACCTAATCTATGTGCAGCTATAGTTTATACCATTTTCTGGGAGTTATACGCATTATACTTTGTTTATTTAAAACTATTGTTTATACCACTTAGTGGCGTTATTTGTTTTAAAATTGTATACCCTATAGGTGGAGTTATTTGTATTATACCTAATTTATATTTAACTACAACTTAAACTGCTTTCATGGAAAAATTCGTATTATGTTTAGTTTATACTTAGTTTATATAAAATTGTGATTTACATAGTTTTAGCGGACTTATTCATTTTAAAAATTTATACCATTTTAGTGGAGTAAAATGGTTTTAAAAATGTAAACTATTATAGTGGAGTTATTTTTTTATACTTAGTATATATTTAACTATAATTAATACCCTGTTGCTGGGGATATTAGTTTTACACATAGTTAATACTTCATCAGAATTTATGTCATTATAATAGACTTGTTTTATACTTAGTACAGACTTAGTTATAATTTATACCACATTAGTAGAGTTGATCATTTTAATGGAGCTCTTCGTTTTATAAAAATATGCACCATTTTAGTGAAAATATTGGTTTTATATTTACTTTATATTCTCAAATGGTGATAAACAAAATAAACCTGTTTATGTTCATGCAACACAAACTTGTCAGCCTCAGATGAAAAATAGTAAACTATATTTTATAAATTACAAAACTATAAATTAAAACTATAAAAACTTATAAGATAAATATACATAAACATTTTACAAAAACCAAAACAACTATAAATGATTAAGATCATTGTGGCAAGCATAATGTGATAAACCAGTTAACATAATATAACAAAATTACTCAATTTATTATACATAAAGCACAACAATAAAGCAGAAGTACAACAAATAACGATTAAATTATAATTAAAAAAATATGGAATATATTATTGATAAAAATTATATCCTAAATAAAATCCATAATCAAACTTACGTTGTTCCAGCTTCGCCTGTATCTAGTTTTCCAGATAATGCTGCTCTACTTAAGGAATGTACCGACTTAATAGAAACTTCTAAATCTATAATTATATATATATATATATATATATATATATATATATATATATATATATATATATATATATATATATATATATATATATATATATATATATATATATATATATATATATATATATATATATATATATGTATATTTATATATATATATATTTATATATATACATATATATATATATATATATATATATATATATATATATACATATATAATATATGTATATATATATATATATATATATTATATATATATATATATATATATATATGTATATATATGTAATATATATATATATAATATATAATATATATATATATATATATATATATATATATATATATATATATATATATATATACATATACTATATATACATATCTATATATCTATATATCTATATCTAGCTATATATATATATATATATATATATATATATATATATATATATATATATATATATATATATATATATATATAATATATATATATATATATATATTTATGTATGTATGTATGAACCAACAAGTTTATATGTTTTATGTACTTATGAACAAACAAATTTGTATGTTTTATGTATGTATGTATGTATGTATGTATGTATGTATGTATGTATGTATGTATGTATGTATGTATGTATTTGTATGTATGTATGTATGTATGTATGAATAAACAAGTTTATATGTTTTATAGAGACTTATATAAACATATATGGCATGCAAAATGTTTGAAGAAGGTTCATTATCTGGTTTATTTGATTGTTATTAAAATAACTATTTTTTTTTTTTTTAATTATTTCTTAGCTTTTATATTTTTTTACTATACTAAAATTTTTTATTAAATTTTTTATACTTTCAAGCCAAACCTAAAGTTATCTTTCAATATAAATGACAAAGTTTATCGTGGTACATAAATAATTTTTATTTTTATTATTAGGATATAGTTATTCCTTCAGTGAAGCTTTTTTCAATTTATTTTATTGATTTTCATAAAAATCCATTAATGACATTTTTCTGGTTTTAAAAATAATCTTTTTAATGAACAATTGCATAAAAAGAAACTAGAGGCTGTAATTTTTCCACTTTTTTATAATTATTTTTAAACTTACATTTTTATATCTAAATTAAATTGAAAATTGACTAATAGCAAATGATTCTGTAACGATTTTTTTTAAATATTAACTTCTATTTGCAATCATAGAAAAATAAACTTGCTACAGTCAACTCAATATAATAACTTCTATTGTGACCAACATTTAGCAAATGCACCAATAAAAATGTTGTTTTTAATATTATATGCCCCAAACTAGAAAACTATATTACTTTTGTCAGACTTTAGACCTGATAAAGTCAGACCTGTTGTCAGACTTGTGTAAGCAGGACAAAGTTAATTTTTTACAATGATAATTAATCAACACTCACAAAATAAGATAAGTAATAAGGTTATAATGACAATTTTAAATAACTTCAGTTGTTTTCAGTTGCAACAACTGTAACTGTAAAAATTAAATTATGTGGAATGCATTGTATTATGAGGAACTTTTTTTTGTTTTGCTTTATTTAGATTTCTAGAAGATTAATACAGACAGTATTAATGAGATTGCAGCTTTTCCTATACTTAAATCTACATTTACTGGTGAGGTATATTATTTGATTAAGCGAACCATATTTTAAATAATTTTGTATGAAAGTTTTTTTACTCTTTTTTTTTTAACCTCCTTTTTAAAAAATAATGTATTCAAATATAGTAATGTATGCAAATAATGTATTAAGATAATTTTTTTGTAATTGTCTAAATTTTGTAATTGTCTGAATTTTTTTTATTTATTTCAGTTACATAGGCATCACCTGTTTAATAAAGGAGGGGTTTATAAAAGTAAGTTTAGTGAAAATTAACAAATCAGTTATGCAAAGTTTTGTATTGCAGAAGATACATAGTTAGAAAAATATAAGTTTTTATTTAGAAAACCTATGTGATATTGTTTTAATTGGTTTAATGTCAGAAAATCAAACTAGTGAGCTGTATTGCATATTGGGTAGAAATTTTAAAGAAATTAAGGTAAAATATATATATATATATATATATATATATATATATATATATATATATATATATATATATATATATATATATATATTATATATATATATATATATATATATATATTATATATATATATATATATATATATATATATATATATATATATATATATATATATATATATATATATATATATATATATATATATATATATATATTGAGGAATGGAGCTAGGAACTGGTTCCTTTTAAAACAGCAGAACAAGGAAGGAGAATGAATTCTTTTTTTTATGGAACGTAAATGAAAAATTATTATTTTTTGTTCACATTCCTCAAAAAAAAATGTTTTTAATTGTCCCTCAAAATTTAAACCCATAGCCTTTTGTTATAGTTGATTTTATAGTACAAAATATATAACGCTTTGTATTTGGCTATAGTTTTAGAAATAGTACATTTGGCCAACTTATGGCGAATATTGCAGCGGAGAAATTTAAAAAAGCTAACCTTGCAGAAGTAATTTTATTTTACGCAGTTGTAGTAAGCAATATGAATCTAGTTATTGAAATTGATAATGTTAGTGGTGGCGCATGTAATGACACTGAAGTTAGTGGTAATTTTTTAAAAGATATACCGTTACTTTTTATCTATTTTATATTTCATTGACTTGCAAATTGTATTTCTAAAGTAAGTTTTTTTTTTTTTTTTTTTTTTTTTGCATTCACTCCCAACAAGGCTGCAAGCAACCATTATCAAGTTGGAAGTTACTAGGAAGAAAAAAAAAGAACAGAGTTATAGAGCAAGGAAACGGTTGACAGAAGACTTGAAAAGTTGAAGGTTGTATGAGTCAGGAAAACATGAAGATGGGAGAGAGTTCCAAAGGATTGAAGTGCGGGGAAAAAAACTAGATGAATAAAAGTTTTTAGAGCATGCAGGGACAGATACAGTAAACGAATGAGACTTAGCTGAATGACGAGTAAAACGAGAATGAATTTTAGTTGATGGAACTAGAGATGATAACTCCTTTGAGCAGTGACCATGATAGTATCTGTAGAAAAGAGAAAGAGATGCAACTTTACGACGATGGGAAAGAGGTTCAAGCTTAGCAGATAGTCCAGGTCCAACAACATTTACAATGCGTTTTTGGACCTTGTCAAGAAGAGAAAGTGAATCGTTAGAAGAACCAGCCCAAATATGACAACAGTATTCCATACAGGGACGAGTAGAGAATGGAATCAGAAGTATGGAAATGGCGAGCACGATAAAGAGAAGCAACCTTAGCAGAAGCTAATTTAGCAATCGATTGTATATATGGTTTCCATGAAAGGTCAGTAGTAAGCAATAATCCAAGAAGACATAAAGAGGACGCCTCAGTAAGAGGATTGCCATTCATTAATATAGGAATGTTGACCATATTACGGTAGTTGTTTGCAGTAAGCAACTGTGAGTTGAAATTCACAAGCCACTGTGAACCCCAATCTATTACTGAAGTGAGATCGGATTCAAGATCAGCTGCTTGTTCTAGGCGATCGAAAAGAGAAGACTTTTTGTCAAGACAGGAGTATAAAGTTCATCATCAAAAAGAGCTACTTTAGATGAAAGGTTGTCAGGAAGATCGTTTATGTAGATAAGAAACAAAACAGGGCCTAGGATGGAACCTTGGGGAACTCCAGAAGTTACTGGAAATAAAGAAGAGTGTTGGCCTTCAAGGATGACTTTAATAAACCGGTTAGAAAGAAATGATTTGATAATCTCAAATACTTTTCCAAAAACACCATATGAAGCAAGCTTATGGAGAAGACCAGCATGCCAAAATTTGTCGAAAGCTTTAGATATGTCGAGAGCAATAGCCCTAGCCTCACCGCCTCCATCTAATGCACAATAAAATCTTTCAGTTACAGCAGTTAGCAAGTCAGCCGTAGAGTGAGAGAATCGAAAACCGTATTGATTGTCTGACAGTAGTTTATTTGACTCAAGATGAGATGTGAGGAATTTGTTGATCAAAGACTCAAATACCTTGCTAATAACAGAAAGAAGACTGATCGGACGATAATTGGAGGGGTCAGAATTTTCTCCAGAGTTTTTGGATATTGGAACCACAGATGCCATTTTCCAACAAGCAGGAAAACAAGACTCAGTCAAACACTTGTTAAATAGTTTAGAGAGAATTGAAGAAAGTTCTGGAGAACAATTCTGCAAGACTGTGACAGGAATGTTGTCTGGACCACAAGCTGTAGACAAGTTTAATTGAGACATGACTTTAGCAATAGAAGCCAAAGTGATTTGAATGTCTAACAATGGGTCAACCTGTTTGACTGGAATGGAAGGAAGAAAATCTCCATAAGATTCAAGAGTGGAATTAGAAGAAAAGTTCTTTGCAAATAGTTTATTACGATAAAACATGTCTTGACTTGCAGACTTAACTAAAGCCATAATACTTAAGTCTAAGTCAAAGTACTAGTCTTTAACTTATACTTAACACTAGATAATTACCTTTTCAGGTGAATATTTGCCCTGGAATGGTTTAGAGTCATATTTTATATTCAGGTGAATGTTTGCCCTAGAATGGTTTAAAGTCATTTTTTATATTCAAAGAAATAAACGGCAGCAATATAAATGCAAAATGTGTTTTGTGTGGCCTTCAGAAAAATAGATAAGTACAGCTAAAAATACATCATCTAATCTAAAATGGCATGTTAAGGTAAATAAATATTCGTGATTCTTCCTATTTTAAAAACTATGTTAACTGATTTATTTCAAATTATAATATTTGCATTTTTGTTTACACATAATTATTATGTACTAATAAATGATTATTATGTAAATAATTCTGAGGTTAGTTGCCAGCTGGATAATTTAATATATAATTTAAAATTTTCTTAGCTCTAATATACTTGCGTAGCACAGTGGTTTTCAAAAAAGCTGAGAACTTGCAGGTCCGCGCTCGATTTCTTATAAAAAGGCTTTTTTTTTTACTGCCTGAAGATGGTTTACAAAAAAATTAGATTAACATTTTTAGAGAGTTCATCCATCTAAAATGGCTGATTTTGAAAAAAGCTATAAAAGAAGGTAAAAAAAAGCTTTGGTTAAAAAAAAAAAAAGAGGTTCACCGAATAATGTGAAGAAGGATGCGGTGCAATCAACTCTTGAGAAATATGAAACCGATAAAGGATATGAGAGTTTTAAAATAAAACAAAAAAGTTTGGATCAACTTGTTGTAAATTTTGTTGTTAGTGAAACAGAACCTTTATTTATAGTTGATAAACCATTGTTTATAAATTTGGTAAAGTTAAGCCTTCCTAAAAACCTGAAAGTTATTTGTAGTAAAACTTTAAAACTACGTATAAATAATCTTTATTCATCAATAGTTCAACATTTATTACTTCAACACTTGGAGATATTATGTATGTTGCAGCTGACAGTTGGAGCAAAAATAAAAGAAGTTAAATTGGGGTTACTTGCGATTGAATAGATCAAAAGACTCTTCAGCGTAATTCAGTATCTTTAGCATGTAGCCGAATAAAAGGAAGACATACATATATTGTTTTGGCTTCTGCCTTGTATAAGATTCATACAACCTAAAAAATACAAAATAAAATAGTTGCTACAACAACAGACACTGGCTCAAATTTAGTAAAAGCTTTTAAATTATGTTTCCAAAAATTAAGAGAATGAGGAGGATAGTAATGATGATGATGATGATGATGATGATGATGATGATGATGATGATGATGATGATGATGATGATGATGATGATTTATACGGTGAGAATTTGAGTTTTATGACACTTTAGACAAAAACATTCATGAACAAGAAGAGAATAACTTACTTGTTCAGTTACCACAACATTTTAGATGTGCTAGTCATACACTGGACTTAATAGCAAAAAATTATATTGAGAAAACGGTACAGAATTCACCTAGTAATTTTAAGAAACTTTATAGAAAAGCAAAATGGGCAAGTGTTCATCGTTATTGAGTAAACAAAATATGTCGAATAGAATTGTAGAAAAAATTCACAATACGCAAGATGTTTATTTAAAAACACCTAATAAAACAAGGTGGAACAGTAACTATGATAATTTATCACAAATTATAATTATTTTTTCAGACACTAATGGTCATAACAAAATGAGTAATATAATGGATTTCTGTGAAATACAAAGATTCACAAATCAAGAAATTCATATAATTTAAGAATACTGTGAGTTAATGATTCCTCTTGCCCAATCTTTAGATTTTTTACAAAGAGAAGAATCAATGTTTATGGGGTATTTATTACCTGCGCTTTACGCTTTAGATAAAGAATTAACTACTTTGCAACAAAAAAATATGAACTTTTGTGGCTTACTAGTCAACACAGTAAAATCTTCAGTTCAAACTTGATTTAGCGCTATATGGGAGAAAAAAAGAACTAATACTAATATTTTCTGTTTACCTGTAGAAAGCAACATAGTTACAAGTTTACCTGAACTTGAAGAGTTAGAATTATACTTAAAATCACAGTCAAGAGAGTTGTCTGTTTTACTATTATATCCAGCAGTATTAAAAGCCTTTTTACAACTTAACACACCTCCTCCATCGAGTGCACCAGTCGAGTGACTATTTTCAACATGGTCTAATGCGATGACTGAAAAAATATATAAATTGGGTAATTTGTTATTTGAAAAATTAGTTTTATTAAAACAAAATAAAGTTGAAGCTTAAAATATTTGTTTTCGTGTATTTTACTGTTTTCTATTAGCATTTTGCTTATGCTTTTGAACTGAAATTAATATATAACTTATATATATATATAAAGTTACATACATAGGCAGACTAGACCGGCAAGAAAGAAAATTTAGAAAACTATTTAAAAATAATAACAAAAATAAACCTGATATAATAAATTTACTCCCATTTTGTCGCTGATGTATTACATAATTAACAATTTTAAAATAATTTTAAAAAAGAAACGAAGTTGGAACGAATTCCTTTTTTTGAGGAATTTGGAAAAAAAATCCTATTTCAGGTAAGAAACAAGGATCTGGAACGCATTCTTATTATACAAAATGAACGTGGAACAGAACGAGATCCTTTTAAAAAGGAACTTTCCAAACACTGACATATATATATATATATATATATATATATATATATATATATATATATATATATATATATATATATATATATATATATATATATATATATATATATATATATACATATATATATATACATATATATATATACATATATATATATATATATATATACATTTATATATATATATATATATATATATATATATATATAAATGTATATATATATATATATATATATATATATATATATATATATATATATATATACATTTATATATATATACATATATATATATATATATATATATATATATATATATATATATATATATATATATATATATATATATGTATATATATATTCAACTTAAGATGCCATATGTCAACTTTTAGAACCAAGGGTAAAAGAAAAGCTCCCCCTAATTTGTAGCGGGATAGCTCAGATGGTTAGAGCGTCAAAGGAAAAGTTAAAACCCGGACTGTTGAACAATACGAGTTCAAATCCCGCCACCGCCAACTCAGCGCTTGAGTAGTATTTCCATACGCAAAAATGTTGGTCAATAACGGACGCTACTTTGGATTAGTCTTAATGACTATTTGTAGCTGTTCCTATGCTAAGCCAACAATATCTATGGATATAAGAACATTGTATAGAAAAATATAGCATGAAACTCAAAAAAAAAAAAAAAAAAAAATTATGGATGCATTAAAATTGCGCCGTTTCAAAGTGGAGTTATAGGTATTGGAAGAATACAAGCAATATATGAAACCTATTGCTGATGCTCTGAACAAACTGCAAGGGGAAAATAATTGTTTTCTGGAATTCTTGATGCCAATGGTTCAGCAAGTTTGAAAGAAATTTGTAGTGCTTATCCCGAAAGTTATCCACAGTGCAAGTTTAGTTAAGGGATTGATTTCAAACATAGATCAGCGTTTCCCACATTTGTTTGCATAAAATCCAGAATTTATGAAATTGCAACTACATCTCATCCTCATTTGAAACTGTGATGGGGTCCAGAGAAAAAGAGTACAAAACACAAAAAATCAGTTTAGCTGAAAGTTCTGCAGATGCTGACAAAGCATCAACATCTGGAACTGATGATTTTTTTAAACTTTAATCACCAAAAACAAGATGCTTACAAGCTAGTCAGTCAGTAGTCACTATCGAGTGTTTACATTATCTTGAAGATGGTTTATACACATCATTAGCATGTTAGGAACAATACCCAGTTGTTTAGAAACTTTTCAGAGATGTTAATGCAACTGTTACATCGTCTGTTCCATTTGAATGGCTATTTTCTAAAGGAACTTTAATTGCTGTGCCACGCTGCAATCATTAATCAGATAAACATTTTGAACAATTGTTGTTGCTGAAAGCCAACAAACATTTAGATTAGATTTTATTGTCATTTTAAACTTTAGTTGCTTTAAAGCACTTTCAATAGCCTTTTTTTTTTATTTTTGGCTTTCTTAAAGTATTTTGTATTTTAAATACTTTTATATTGAGTATTTTTTATTTTATACTTTAAATATATATATATATATATATATATATATATATATATATATATATATATATATATATATATATATATATATATATATATATATATATATTTTAAAGAGAGCGCTAATAAACAAGACCAGAAATAGTTTAAAAATTTGAATAATTTTTTTTTTATTAATAAATGATAGACTGCTGCCCTATCTAAACCCTCAGTCGATGTAGCAGCACTTCGTTGCGCATCAGGCTATAAAATAGTCAATGTAGCAACACTCCCTTGTAGCAGCAGGCTATAAGATAGTTGATGTAGCAACACTCTGCACATGTTTTAAAAATATATTTTTATTAATTTTTCAAAATTGAATCCTTACTTATTTTGTTTTTGTTGTGGGTATTTTAGATATTCTGCGCTTTAGCGCTATCAAAATAACCTTACTTATCCTTAAATACCTTTTTAATCAGTCATTAAAAAGGTTAACCAGGGCAAGAAGCATCAATAAAGAGATTATGCAATGGCTTTATTTTATTTTATTATGAAATATATATTATTAAATAAAAAATGCTCAAATTTAGACTTCAAAATGTTGATTTGAAATGTGATTTGAATTGCAAATCAAAACCTGCTTTGAATCGAGATTCAATTCAAAACAAAAACTGCCGATTCACAGGACCCTAATTATATATATATATATATATATATATATATATATATATATATATATATATATATATATATATATATATATATATATACATATATATATATATATATATATATATATATATATATATATATATATATATATATATATACATATATATATATATATATATATATATATATATATATATATATATATATATATATTATATATATATATATATATATATATATCCTTATAGTGTAGTCGAAAGAGTTGTTCAATGTAAAAAAAGTCTCTTACGACTACAATTTTAATTACCTCGTCTCTTAAGCTGTATTTGATTGTCGTCGAAATGTCAAAGCAATTAAATTAATGCGGAAGAACATTAAATTTTATTGTTTTTTAAAAAATTTTTTAAAAACCGCAATAATAACGACTAGAAAGTTTTTTTTAATTTGTAGTGTTTTTGTTTTTGTTTTATTAAAAAACATTTTTAAAACATGCGTAAATGTTGCTACATCGACTATCTTATAGCCTGACTCGCAACGGAGTGCTGCTACATTGACTGACAAATAGCCTGACTCGCAACGGAGTGCTGCTACATCGACTGACAAATAGCCTGACTTGCAAGGGAGTGCTGCTAAATCGACTGACAAATAGCCTGACTCGCAAGGGAGTGCTGCTACAACGACTGACAAATAGCCTGACTCGCAAGGGAGTGCTGCTACATCGACTGAGGGTTTGGTTTGGGCAGGCAGTCTATCATTTAAAAAAAAAAAAATTTAAGTTTTTAAACTTTTTCTGGTCTGGTTTATTAATGCGCTCTTTAAAACTACAGTTTATGGGAAACTCTTTTTAACTACCATGCAAGAGTATATATATATATATATATATATATATATATATATATATATATATATATATATATATATATATATATATATATATATATATATATATATATATATATATATATATATATATATATATATATATATATATATATATATATATATATATATATATATATATATATATATATATATATATATATATATATATATATATATATATATTTATATATATATATATATATTTATATATATATATATATATTTATATATATATATATATATATATATATATATATATATATATATATATATATATATATATATATAAATATATATATACACTGAAAATACAAAATACATCCAAAGATGTATTTTAAATACAAATACAAAATACTTGATTGAAAAAGTATTTGAAATACAATACAAATACTTAAAAAGTATTTAAAACAGGTATTTAAAATACAAGTAATCAAAATACTTTACAATATTG